GTCCTTCTAAACATTGGTAGATTATCAAAAATTCCGAGTTAAATAAATTCTAGAAAAAAAAACGTCTGAGTAAAAAAATCCGAAACATAAAAACAAACGTTTCAACTATAATTATCTTGAAGAATATTTCTATACATCGGTGTTTATTCGATAGGTAAGTACTTATAGATTCTTTCATTAATCAATTAAAATCTAGATTTCTTTATCATGTTGAAATTTTATCAAGTTTTCATTTTCTTTTACCTACAAAAGAAAAATTCAAAAAATTAGCTGCATTTTATTTAGCCCTAATAATGAATATTAGTACCAAATTATCAATTATTAATTATGAATTAACTTAAACATTTTAACATCAAGACAATGGCGTTATACAATGTACATACATATACATAACACAACATTTTGTAATTATAGTACCTACCTATGACTATGTTTAATACTTTAAACATTATATATGTTTTGTATTCCTATGAACTAGTCCAAGTGTAAAAAAATGTACTCAATACCAATCTTTTAAAAAAAATATTTTCATATCAAATAATTATTTAATTTATTTTGATTTTGTACAATTGAAATAATTTACTATAATAAATTTCAAGCCAAATTGATTTAACATTTTTAACTATCAAGTGCAAAATTAAAACGAATAATTGCTGTAACTAGATCCTTGTATACGGAATTAGGTATAGGAATTTTGTCAATGGAATTTATAAGTATATTAAAGGTATCTAGGTGATCAATAAATAAATAAATATATATTAATATAGGTACCTACATAAGATTAAAATTGCTTAGCAAGATTTATTATTTTAAGATCCAAACATGTATACAATTTTAACCAATATCAAGCATTATCAATTATGTTTTAGACTTGAAGCTAATTTTTACACCAGTCTTGCTTTATTTATTTTCACAAAAATATACAATATTAAGTAGGTACCTAAGTATTTTTCTGTAAAAGTCGGTTATGGATATATGGTTACGTTTATATCTAATATGGTAGGTACATATTATTAGATACACAGAAATCAAATTCTACTAAAGAACTGAATAACATCACTAAGCAAGACAATGTAAAAATTCATAATTTTTTCAGAGATTAAATCTGAGATATCGCATTATATTAATATGTAGGCAAAAACACCAAAAACATAAAGATAAATTCAAAATAAAACCTAATTTTTTTTTTAACAAATTACAAATTATTTGAGACATCAATATATTATTCAATGAGCCATTGCCCATTTGTAAAAATGTAATGAATTGAAAAGATAAGCTATAGTAAAGAATAATTTTTTATCATTGCTCATGAGTAAACTACATAAAAAAAAAAAAAAAAAATTTAGAAAAATATTATGTTGTATACTAATTAAAATATTAAATAGTAGGGCGGGGACAAATTACCTCCTTGAGGTAGACAAATTTAATTAGAAAGTTACTAAAAGAATGACCAAATAATTCAACAAACCCATATCATTTTTATTTACTAAACAGGTACAAAATATGAAACCATAAAAGCTGTGGCTGGCTTATCAACCTCTAGTAGTCAAAAACATTTATTAAAATACCATGATATACAGTATCAAATGTTCTGAATGGGATATTACCTATAAATAATGATTATATGATCAGTAATCATTTGCTATGAAAGATTCATTAATATAGACAGGTAAGCACTAAACAGTAAAATTTTAAGGTCTAAAACATTATATAAAAGGACCATAAATAATAACACTTTTCTAAATTTGCTTGACATTTAATTAAATAAAAGAAATCAATGGAGTACAATATATTAGTCTTAAAATATTTTTTTTTTTAGTATTTGATACTATAGTACAGGTGTACCAAATAGAATATTATAAATAGTATATGAAATTACAATAATATTAACTATACCTATATTTAGCCATAACTAAAAAATTTATCTCATAAAAATATTAAATGTTTCTAATTCTAACATTTTATTATTATTTAGTTTGTGAATAAAATACATGTAATAACATTTTTTTTTTTACTTATTTTTATTACCAATATTGAAACTTAATTTAAATTAAAACTAAAAAGTACATACATTGAATAAATTGAATACAATACAAAGGATTCTTGGCTCTTGTACATTCTTGTAATTTATTAGTCATGACTTTTTTTTTATAAATTCAATTGAATTATACATATTAAGATCATATTTTTTCAATTTTAGGTTTATTATATTTAAATATTTACTAAGAGAAAGCTACACCCACATATGGTATCACCATTTTAAAAACACATAGCATAGCACATTGTGCACATTGATCTGAATAATTTATTAAACTCTGTCATGTTTAAAATTATAGCAAATTTACCAATTATAAAATTTAAAAGTAAGAATATAAACTAGTGACCCTCATAGAAAATTTATATTTTTATTTTAAAGTGAGTTATGAGCGTATTAAAATGTACAATTTAGATTTAATAAGACAGAGACACTGCATGTAGGTATAGCACACTCTTAAACAATTAATTCAAGATTAATTTTATAATAAACTATAGTAGATGCTTATAAACTATTTAAATTTATTATTTAAAATAATTAATTCAGTGTTGTTAAACTAAATAAAATTACAATGAGAAATAATGTAGTATCTTTATTCTCCAATGATGTACCTACCTATATCTTAATTAAATAAAGTATTAACATTTAATTTAAACATTATAAAATACAATTATATTATACTTGTTAAATTAAAATAATATTTATACATTGATTCATAAAAATGCATCATAAAGAAAGCAAAAGAAATACTAAGAATTTAAAAAAAAATTCAGTAATATTAACTTGCTCTTTTTTATTTTTTTATAACAGCTTAAAAATAAATGAAATTATTGACTACTAATAATATATTTAAATATTATAACAACCAGGGCTCATGCATTTATGCCTTAAAAGTATACAGTTATGTACTAAAAACTAGTAAAATATACCTTAAAAAATTCAGAAATATGTATTATTTATATAGACTAAAAATATACAGATTAAAAAAAATGAAAAAAATATTGGTAATTTTTGGAATAACAAAAAAATTTCATTCATACTTATAAAAGTAATGCTTTGTTTGTTTAAATGTAATTCCAAAAAATAAATTAAAAATATTCAATAATAATCTAATAAAATAAACATCCAGTTAGTCTAGTATTAAGAAGATAAGACCATTTCATACAACATGTTTGCAACTAATTGCTTTAAGTGGGCTACATATACGTTTGTACGCACTTTATTTTTTTTACACACTAATTTTTAATAATTTAACGTTACGAACATTTTATGCAGTACAAAAATACAAATTATTGCATTTTCATCAAATTTTGGTAAAAACATGCTAAATATACGCAATAAAATTATATAGTTTTTAGTTTACGAAACCAGTTGCAAGAAGGCTAAGTCAAGTAAATATGGTGTATACGCCACCACTAATATATTTTTAGATGTTAAAAATTACATTATTATAAGAACTGAATGTATGGGACCTATCACGATGCAAAAACCTAAATGGCTTTTATCTGTTCACTTTTGATGTTTTAAAATGACATTTTTATCTTAATTTTTTTAAAACTTATAAACAGAAAATTTGATTTGAGTTATTCTAACTCTTACTTCTTAGGAACAAAATAATATTGGGGGGGGAAAAAAAACATTTGGTACAGATAAAAAATACTTAAAAACTATATATTAAAACAAATATTACAGAATCAATATTTGTTGATAAAATATTATGAATTACCCAATCTATAATAAAAGCTTATACAATTATTATGAATATAGGTATACACTATAAGTTAATAAATGACCTAAAAACACTAAAATTTCTCTAAAAATAGAAAAAGACATTAAAAAATGCAAAATAAAAATTTGTGAAACAAATTAGGCATTTAAAATGTATTTTCCTAGAGCACTCAAAAAATAATTCACATTGAAGTATAAACTCTAATGGTAATTTTATGAACGCACCTCACATTTATGGTGAATTTTAGAATTGTACGCTTCTTTAATTTAAAAACATTGAATATTCAGATAATAAATTCATCCTTTTCCCTTCCTAACTTATATTTTCGTAAGATGTTATTAGGGTAGGGACTTATAAGAGTTTGCATATTTTTCAATAATTATTCAAAACATAGTAAAGTAAAACAGAAATTTGTTTCAAAAACTAGAAGTTTATGCAATCGTTTTTATTTTGCATATTCAGCTCTTTTTTCACTTTTAAGTACATATCTTGTTGCATTTTTATTTTAAGTACATATTAAACATGTTTATTAAAAAAAAAAAATTAAAATAATATGTGACATAGAGAATAATCATTTATACATACTATACAATATTTAACATACATTTCCTAAAAGGAAAAATTTAGATTAAAATTATTTAACAAGTATTATTGAATAATCTATCTATCGTGTTTTTCCAATTATTTGCATTATGCAAATCATAAAATTGGTCGGTTAGGAAGACGTCAAATATGGGCAGTTGATGTCACTTTATTCGTTTGTTTCATAAGTGTTTTCATCTTGCATTAATATAGTTAACATAATATTCTAGATTAGGTACAGTTATTTCTTGTGAAAATTAAATTAAATATGCCTTAGTTAATAATAAGTAAATTTATAATTTTTGGTTTATTAATGAAAAATAAAATATATTTTAGTATTTTTAGAGCATGAAGTTCCTAGCTTAAAATATATATTTTGCTTTTAATGAGTTAGAATGATTTTTTTTTTTTAATTATACATATTAAAATAAAATAATATTTACTTTCATTTTTTAAAATTTTTTTTTATCTAGTTTAGGATAAATTAGAAATGTTTTATAAGTTAAAAATTAAAAATGCTTGTAAAAAGTAGTGTTTGAACTTTGAAGTGATAACGCGCAACACTATTTATGGTATTATTTAGTTTGTTAAATGCTGTTATCAAAAAAAAATAATAAAAAATAAATATATTGCACTATTGTAATATTGTGAAACACTATGAAACAGACAGAAAATGTATTTTTAACAGAACAATCTTCAATTTTAGAGAAATATTTTTTTCAAGGTGAAGTAAAATGGTTTGTTTAGAAGATTTTGATTATAACTTAATTACTGAGATTATCGATGTATTTTCCTTTGTTAAATTGACACTGAAAGCAGTCATCATAATGCCAATTTGTGCACTATTGATGGGAATTGTTTGAAAAAAATTCAATACTTGCTAATAAAGTGAGGACATGATTGAGTGGTCGTATATAAAAAAAAAAAAATGATGCTGAAAGTTATCTGGCATATTGACAGAATCCTCATGATGACTATAATCAAATAAAATATTTCAAAGATTTATTTTCACTCCTCAAAAATGATTTTATTTAAAAATCAATCATAAAATTGATTGAAAGGGTACATAATCTTTATCAAAATAAAGAAGAATAATGTTTTGAACAAACAAAAGGTGAATCTATTACACTCATTCAATTGACATTACAAGAAAAGTTGCTGCTAGAAATAGGTAAAAGTTCCTAATTGATCCTAAAACACAAAAAGAAACTGATTTGGTTAAAATAATCAAAAAGAAATGAATCTATTTGAAAATTGAAGAACTTACAGTCATCACTTAGAGGCAAGCCTTTAATTATTTATTGTCTTACTCCTCCTACTAGTATCGAGTCAAAGCGTGCATTTTTAGTAACAGCTAATATACAAAATAAGCTGAGAAGCTGACAGAGATGGAACATTAGATGCTATACCAGTGATTCTCAATCTTTTTAGGACCGCTACCCAATTTTTTTTCCAAAAATCTATCGTGACTCCCACAGTTTTACATTTACAGAATCAAAAAAGTAATTTCAAAAAATAAATTTTTTTATAACTTATTTACTACTTTATAATAATAATAATTGTAATAATATACTTATAATAATAATAATTTTAATAATATTCTTATAATAATAATATAATACTACTTCTCCACGACCCCCCAAAAATTGACCCACAGTTTGAGAAACGCTGCGCTATACTATGCCTTTGTTCATATTTTCAAAATAAGAAGAGCATAAAATTGTAATTTGTAATAACATTTTGATTCATTAACAAAAATTAAAATATTTTTTTTTGCATAATCTTTTAAATTTTTTGTTACTAAATTTCAGGATAATTCTAGGACCTCGGAAATAATAATGGCTAAATATCCCAATATCGTAAAATAGGGTCGGTTGTAATCTCTAGATATATTATAATATTTTTAATTTCATGCCATTTTTATAATTAACTCATTATCATATTTAAAAGCATAGAATTTTCAATGTGAATTATTTTTGGAAAGTGTTAGGAAACACTATATTAGACGATTTTTATTGAAAACATATTACAAATGTAATACAAAAACCTAATTATTTTGTCATTATTTTATAATATTATCATTATTATTGAGTTTAGAAATTTTTGAAGGTTTAAGGATTTGATTATTATGAGGTGATTCTGTTTCTGATTTTGGATCAGAAAATTTAGCTTCAGACTTTTTTCGTTTTCTTAACTTAGCTGTGTTTTTTTTAATTTCTCGTACAATCCTTAAATCTACATCATAAATCGTCCAATCAGTTATTTCATGATTTATATTTGTTGGATCTTCAATCTCATTGTATTTGTCAATATTTACTCCAAGGATATCCATTAAAGACTTCATCAAATTGTCTACATAAGTATGAATAACTAAATCTGCTTTACGATCCTTAATAAAATATATAACACAATTAGAACAAACATGAAAAAAAAAAACAGTTTAATATATTATATATAATGACTATAAAATACTTACACAGTTTGTTTTTTGTAAATTACAAATAACAACTTTTCCTTTGTTCTTTTTTGCGTTAAATGGAACCAGATTGATTGGTTGAATTTGTAATGAAGTTCCAAGACAAATGCATAAATCAGCCATTCTGATTAAACATAAATACTCAAGTTAAATTTTAAAAATAAATTAATAAATATAATTAAATTGTTTAATTACAAATATATATATATTGTTTAACTTTAAAATATTAATAATTTATATATTATTTCACATAACACTTAAAACGAGGGCATTATTTAAACTGCAATTAACAGGGTGCTATACTTGCTGAGTTGTTTCTGTCTTACTAGTATACAATATGGTAAATTTGAATTCTGTAGAATCAATTTTAAAAAATTAGGTTTAAATATAATTGACCTATGATCAAAATTAAGAATAATAACCTGTTAACTTTCATAAGTTTCTTACTATAATTTAATATTTAAGTAAGTATAAGAATATAAAATTCTAAAATATGCCTCGCTTAAAAATTCAAATATCATAAAAACTAATAAGAGATTACAGTTGTTACCTTTAAGTTTAGTTATAGGTCAATTCATTAATATTAAAGCTAGCTAACAACATAAAATCCATTCTATTAAACATAAATTTGTTATGTTGCATGTCTGTAAGTTAAAGATTACATGTGTGAGTAACATCTTTTTAGATTAAGTACCTTTTATAGGTCAAATGTGCTTGGATTATGCTTTGGTATTTATAAATTATATTATACACCAGTCAAGTATCTATCAACTGCACTTAAATGATAAATAATTTTATTATACTATGATTATTTTAGTTCTAAAAAAGGTTTACAGATCTTAAAAGGCAGTTGATTTTTTTTTATACCATCTCAGTGGACTGTCAGATAAATATAATGTCAACCAATTAATGGTCATTGATAATATGTAAAAACATGTATTAAAATTAAATCATAATATATAAAGCGAACTATGATATAGTTACTTGGAATGTAACTCCGATAACTCTAACTCTTCGATTGGTAATTGATGTTCCCAGTCTAATATTGTATCATATAAAACACCTCGACATTGATGGCCATTCTTGTTTTTTCCTAAACATTTGATGTTTAAGCATCGCTGTCCAACTGTTTTTACAGCACTTTTACTCACATAGCTCCTAGTATTTAAACAAAATAATTGAGCTAAATCATCTCTAGTAATATAGCTAATTAAATAATAAACAGTTTAAAATAATTATTTTCAAACCTTAGAATATAAGAAAAATAAGTAATAAATAATACAGTTGAAACAAAACAATTTTAAACATTAATTAGTAGTTTACTTTAAATTAAGGCTTAAAAAAAAGTGCAGTTATAACTGTTCATGAAAATACTTAGGTTTTTCCAATTCAACATTAACCATACTCAAAAGCAAAAATAAATAAAAAATGTAGTTTAAATGCTTGTAAAACAATACTGTTTTATACTTGCATCATTGCTATTGAACTTATGAATACAGCATTGTATAAAAATAATCTTTAAGTCAATACAACTGATAACTATTGTTAACTGTAACTCAATTATACCTCTTTTACCTCTTGTTTAAATGTTAGTTATTTTATCACTCAGAAGCTATCATTAAGTTTCCCGTTGTGTTGGCCTCAAAGTGTATATTTAGTGAAGATAAAAATCTTTCTTTTTTAGTGAAGATAAAAATAGTTCAACAGTTTTAGAAATAATTCAACAATAGAATTAAAAATAGAAGTTTTATAAATATTATCCCTAACATTATATTAGGGATGAAAAATATTTTAAAAAGCGCCTTACTAGATAAAACAAGTTTTCTTATTTTAGCTCTGTGAAAAAAAATATGATAGCCTACCCTGTATAATATTTTATATTTAAAGTAATATCATTCAATACACTGATAATTCATTTATTTTTAATTATTTTAAAAATTACATTAACTATTAAAAATATGTACCTTAAGTAAATTAAAATATTTTAATTTACCTTTTGCATTTATTACATTTCATAGTAAACATGTTTCCATGAACTTCAGAAACATGTTGACGAAGTAATCCTGACTTCAAATGTAAACCATCTATATTCTGACTGACAACATATTTTGCATAACCTAATACAATATACAAGAATATTGTTAACAATTAGAAGTTACCCTCATTTACTGGTGTGTAAAACAAATACTCATGCTAAAAAAAATATAACATACTGTTTATATGATATTAAATAATTATAGTTGCATAAAATGTTTTTTTTGTTTTCTTGTACTTGAATTTAAACAAAATTTTATCTATGATATTTGTTTCAACTGCATAGTGGTAAAATAAAAATATTAAATTCCTCATAGTTTTTTTTTTTAAATTTTAGTTTGGATTACTTATAATTCATAAATATTTAATAAATTCAATCTCAAATTATTTGTTAACAAAATGTGTTTTCATGTACCAATTAAAGCCAAATTTTAAACCAACTAAAAATTATAATTACTTGTAATACATTATTGGATTAAGTATTCAACTAATAAAAAGTTATTATTATTACATATTAATATATTCCACTGTGATATTTTGTAATTATTATTTATTAGTACTGGAGTCTGAACTTTTGCCCCAAAAAAAGTTGAAATATGATACTAATATATTTTCTAAAAAACCTATGATAATTCTCTTTTAAAAATGAGAAAAATAACCAATAAACATCAAAATATGCTTTAATATGCATTTTAATTTTTATTTGTTTCAAGAAAATAAAAACTACTATTAACTAAAAAAAGTTAAGTTAATTAATTATAACACATCAACATTTTTTTTTATTAAAAAATAAAGCCTTATTGTAAAAAACAATAATTTTAAATAATAATTGAAAAAATATATAAAGGTGTTTCTCAAAATTAAATTTTATCTTCACATTTGTTAAATAAAAATATTCCAAAATAATATGTAAAGAAATTACAGTACTATACTACTATTATTATTTATTTACACTGAATTATCCTGTTTTATAAATAATTTTAATAACAGCTACCTATCTTATATAAAAAGTAGGCTAGGTATCACCAATATTAATCAAATTATGTTTACTTTATAAAATATTTTACGTTTTTACTTCATAATTCACCAGTTTTTCTCAGAAACAACTTCTGGTTGATCTAATTTAACCTAATAAATAATAATATCACTATCTCAGAGTTTTTTAATTGTGTAAAATATATAGATCTGAAAATAATTGCTGTTATTGCTCTCAGCTATATCATACAAAGAAAATTAAATGAGTCTTACAATCAACAAGCACCATAATATTCAAGACAACACCTAACATTTATATACAAATATTTTGTGTATATTATACAATATAAACTTCAAAATTATTTCAAAAAATATCATATCTAAACAATAATTCAAGAATCAGACCTTTTTTGACCAAGCTTTTGATTGCCATATGTGTAACTGTTGGTTTGGCATCATTGAAATCTAAGCTTATTTCTGGTTTCTTTCCTTCTTTTTCTAAAGTCCATACTCCTTTTGGTCCTCTATAACAGACAAAATGTATTAATTTAACAATTTAATAATTAGTTATAACTACAGTAACATAATGATTATATACTTCGATTCAAGAAAGATATAAGGTCATACAACTAAGCGGAACAATTGAGACTTTAGAGCTAATATTTGAATAGTAGAATATACAATTTAACATAATTGCTGCTATATAATTTAAAATTGAAAAGAATAGGACTAGAATATTGAACAAGCTATTGAAGAAAGAAGGCTAATGCTAGTAGCATGAAAGTAAACAGAAAGGAATATTTAATGATAAACAAACAATAGAGTAATTATGTTTGGAATGATCAATTTTGAATAATTAGAAAAAAAAAAAAATTGTTTATTTTTCACTTCAATATTCAATTTATTTTTAAATTATCATACTTTATAATTAACTTAAGACTGTTATTTTATATGTTAAAAAAAAAACAAAATATTCATTGAAACAGGAACAATAAACACTAGTGCAGTTAAAATGTGTTTCCTACCAGTAAATAGTTACTTATAGGAAAATATATGATGTATCTGTCATGTTCTTATACTATTTATGCATAAGTAATAACATAGAATATAGATTAATGATAAAAATATAGAACCTTCAAATATTTTACATTAAATTTTCTGAATTACGAGTAATGTGTAAATATTTTTCTTAGCGATTTCATTATCAATATTTATAATATACAAACAACCTATCTGTCTACCAATCCTTAAAGTTTTTGGAAATATATAAAAATAAAAGAAACAATAATGAATTATCTTCATCTATGAATTAAAACAAGGAAAAATATGATAGTAATGAAGATATATGCAATGCTTTTGCTGATTATTTTTCTTTAGTATATACTATGCAGAATTGTATAAGTACTTCTAATCAAATTAACTTAAATAATGAATCGCCAATTAATACATCTTTTGTACATATTTCTATAACTGAAAATTTGTATGGTCTCAGTAGTTTAAGTTTAGATGATACATGTAGACCTAATTAACTGCCTTCAATAACATAATTCAAATGTCGGTATGCACTAACTGTCCTTTGTTTTTAATAAATCTGTTTGATGGGGGTTTTTCAAATAACTGAAAATCTAATTTTGTATTACTAATTTTTAAGTTAAATAATCAGGCTTCTATAAAGATTGTCATCCAATATCTAAATTTAAGCACAGTGTCAAAACTTTTTGAAAAGTTATTTGAACCTAAATTATCTAAATTATTTAAAGACATTCTAATAAATGAAGAACACGGTTTTCAATCTCAAAAACCTACACACATTTATTTATTAATATATTATACTGGAATTTTTTATTTTTATTATTCTTAATGTTGCTAAAAAAAAAAAAGGAACAGGAGGTAGATGCTATTTATACAGACTTTAGTAAGGCATTTGACTCAAATGAACTACATACTTTTAGTTGATAAGCGTAATATTTTTGCTATTAGTGGCTTGTTATTATCCTGATTAAGCTCATATTTGACAGGGAGGGTTTAATAGGTTATCATTTTAAGCAAAGTCTCAACTCCATTCGTTATAACTTCTAGTGTCTCCCAAGGAGGATACCTATTATCTTTGCTCTTTCTATTATTTATAAATTATGTAAAACATTATATTCAATTTCTTTAAAATTTTTCTGTTTGTTGATGACTCGAAAATGTGTTTTCAGGTTAACTCTGTACAAGATTGGGAAAAACTACAGTTAGATCTTGTACATTTTTCAAATTGGTGTACCATGAACAGATTAAAAATAAATACAGATAAATGTGAGTTTACATCATTCACCAGGTATAAAACTGTCTAATCTTTAACTATTCTATGAACAAACATATGATTAAACCAGTTTCTTTTAACAAAGATATTATTCTTCCTGCTGATCTTTCATTTAACAAACACATATTTACTCAAAAACTATGAGTATGCTGGAATTTATTAGACGGCAATGTTGAGATTTTAACATTATTTGCTAGAAAACTTTGTAATGTTCATTTGTTTGTTTAGGTGTTGAGTATGGATTCATAATATGAATTCCTTACCAGGTTTGAATAACATTCAATCCTATTTTTAATGTATGTATAATAGAAGTTAGAATTAAACATGTCGGTTGATAACTTAGGACTTGAATTTGGTTTACACTCTCTAACATCTAAATGAAAACACAATAATATATAATTTATCTATAAACTATTAAATTACAAAATAAGTTGTCCTGAAATACTTAAAAAGGTATGCTGGCTCCACATTTAATGCTCGTTTTATGACTATTTTTAACATGCCTTTCCACTCTTAATCATATAGTTTTAACGAGCCTTTAAGTTGTATACTAAGAGAATGCAACAGTGTTGCTTTTGACTTTAATTTTGATAATGAAGTTTAACTTTGCTGTTTGTGCCTAGGTGTTGGATAAATAACTGTAATGTAAAATTTAATTTTAATACTCTATAATTACTGTTCTAAATATTCATAATTATTATTCTTAATATTCTAAAATTGTTCTTTTCCGTTTTGTTTACTGTAATATTTATGTACACTCTTTGCCCAAATGGGCATTAGTAAATAAATTAAGCTCCTACATTAGGTACACAAACAAATATGATTAATTGTAAAGGAGAAACATGTCAAAACTTAATATGGAATAAACAAATTTATTTGACCTCTAACTAAAAAAGAAATTTTAATTGTCCATTAATACTTCAGACAACAATTTAATAAATCTGATTTGTGTATTTGATAAATGTCTATAAAAAATCTCACCAAGTGTGAGTTCCTTGAGCAGTTTGAATTAAAGTTGAGGATTGCTCAAGCTTGATTGTAACAGAAGATGAAACACGAGTAGCTCATTATACTCTTGAGATAAAAGACAATTGTCACAATAGTAGGTAGTATATTAATTCCTGATAAATCAAAATAATTCAAAACCTCAAATTTGAGGAAAAAACTCATGGCTACCAAGTTTTGGAACATATAAGGGATCATTTTTATTGAATTTTTGCCTCAAAGAGAAATAATTAATGTGACTCTTAAAAGCTAAACAGAGCAATTCAAAACAAATAAAGGGGAATATTAACAAAGATCGTGTGACCAGAGTAATTATGTCTATTAATCAGTCAATAAGCCAAATGTTTCAATAAAAAAAAATATAAGAAAATTTTATACAAAATTTAAATTTGGCTACATAATATGTGTAAGTACTATTAAATATGTATTATTATTTATTATGTATTTAATAATTTCAAAGATATAGAATAAATTATAAATAAATAACATTAAAATTATTACTAGAAAATAATTAATACTTTAATATTTTTCAATGTGTTAAATTGAGAAAATAGTATAAATCAATGGTCACCAACGAGTGGTCCACGGTAAAAATTTGGTGGTCCACAAAAAATGTGAACATTATTTGTAATGTTGTGTACAAAATCGTAATATCCAAAAGTATTGTACAATGTATGTAGGTCCAATTTACAACTTATAAGGATAAGCAAGTAATAATATAGTTATTATTATCAAATGTTATAAAATAAATAGATCTAATATCGTATATTATAGGTACACGTGTCGTTATCACAATATGTTCTAAGAACATTAATGATTCAAATTCAGTTTTCATTTAAACTTTTTTTTCTTTTTGTAATCAATAGTAATTAAACTAATTTAAATAATTTTGTTATAAATAAAAAAACCCTTTATTGATATTTTATAAAATATGTGTTAATTTATTTTTTTTTTAGTTTGGTGTTTAAGACTTATGGGTATAAGTGGTTTGTAGAATTTAGAGTTATGGATTAAGTGGTATGTGAGATCAAAAAGGTTGGTGACTGCTGGTATAAATTATTAAAATATATACAATAAAATTGCAGATATGAATAAAAAAAATGTAGAAACATACTTTTAAAAATATACATTGACAGTACAATGTAGCGAGTCTAATATATGAATTTTTCTAGTATATTAGTACACGCGTAAATTGGGGCTAGCCTGTTTAGGTTTAATAGGTGAATGAGTCTATTTAACAGGAGAAAGTCCAATAAACTGTAACTACTGTATATACACTTTTTAATCAAATAATAAACTAACAATTTTTCAAGACATAATAAATATATACTAAATACAAATAACTATTATTGATAAATGATTATTTTACTAATATAAAGCTCTTAAATATATTATTATAATAAATAGTCTTGTATTTTATTTTGTGTTAATAATACATTTTTACTTTAAAAAAATTGTATGTAGATTTTAAAACTAAAATATCTGAAATATTATGTTTTTAATTTACACTTAAACAATTTCTTAATTATTAGAAATTTTCATTATACTTATTTACCTAAAATCTGGTATACCCGCCGATGTACTTATACCAGCACCTGTATGAAAAACTGTATATCTAGAATCTTTGATCCACTCAGCGAGAAGTGAAATTTTTTGTTTTAAAACTTCAGGAGTATCAAAAATCTAAAATAAATATAAAAATGTATAACTATGGATATTTTAACTGTTATTGATAATTATTTTACTTACTTCATTCATACCAACTTCTCCTTTATACTCATACGGAGATAAACCATTAGCATAGTTGCAAGACATTTTGTTTTAAGTCAATATATAATACACACTATAAAACAAAAAAAAAAAAAATGATATTGATATAAAAATGTATTGGCCATTGTTGAGAATGTGGTATATTTTTGTAAATATGTTAAATTTGAAATAACTAAGACCAAAAATTTAAAATAAGTGTGGTCAAAGCATATTATGTAGGATCTTTTCTGAAATTTTCGCAACAACAATAGATAAATTAAATACATTTTGTACTTAATTGAGCACAGTGAATTCATTTCCAAAATGAGTTGAATTTTTAAATGGTGATTAATATATATATATATATATATATATAGGCTGTACGTCATTAAATACTTAATGATCCCAAACTTTGTTGTATCGAAATAACAGCCACACAACAATTCATGAAATTAATTTGTAATTAAGTGTAATGGTTTTAAAATACGACTCGTTACGGTCAAATGGTTTAATAATTGCCAAATTATGAACTTACACAGCCAACAGCCGTTAATAGTTTAACACATACACAGATACATAGGTAAGTAGTTGATTTAATGTTCAGACAATTTACCTGGATAGTTTACTTTGTGAACAGCGTTTGTTTCGCGATGGTGTGAGGTTGAATTTTTCAAATTGTGGTCATTTAAAGCGTCATTGACACCGGCGTAAATTTTTTTAAACAAAGTCCTACATTAGTTGATTCATTAATACCTGTTCGTCCTTTCCACTGTTCACCGAACACCGAACACTATCTTTAAGTATTATCGTGTGTTATCTTCGTCAATCAATTATTTTGATGAGATAAGTTTACATACGCCCTATACCGGCTATACACATTTACTCATAATAATATTATCAATAAGATTTATCGCGTGAAGGTGTGTGCATTAAATTTTTTTTTAATAAATTCTACACAGCATTATGCAGATGAATAAAGATTTGAGTAGTGATTCGCAGAATTTCTGCGTAAAACTGCGATTATTGATTTTTTTTTTTATCATGAGCATTTACCTAGTATTAGAAAATTGGGGTACAATTCATACACCGGTCAATATGACGCTACCTATTTTGTTTTAATATTAATTTACCTCCAGTCTATCGTGTCGACGATAAACGTTATCACTTTAATCACTAGTGAGATACCGAGAAAATGAATCAAAAATATTAGGTGTCTTGTTAATTAATCTTTTTACTTATATTCGTGTGAATTGTACATTGTAAATTAATAGTAATTAATTTTATTTAAATTATGTGAAATTCGATTTCAATTTTGTTTTGAATATTTACAATCCAGTTTGTATACGTTAGCTAAGATTAGCAAAAGGTATGGAAAACTTTTTTTTTATTTTTTAATCATGTACTTGTTCATTTTATTTTCTAATATAATACCGATGTATGGACTGGATAGATTTATTTGTGAAGTTTTTGTAAATTATATTGATATCACATAACTATCTATTTTAAAATTTTAATTTATTAACCTATTCAAGTAAAAATGATAATTTCATAAACTATCAACTTATCAATTGTTTTATTTTATGCCAAATTGTTCTTACATCAAACACTTGATAACTGTCAATCATTATATATTTATTTTTTTTGTTAGTTTAAAAATTGTTATTATGATTCTATAGTTCTGTCTGATGCAGTATTGCACAGGGATTAAGTTTTTCTGATACTATTGTTACTATTATGCAATTAGATAAATTATTTTACGTAGGTATTTAATTGATTTGTGGTTATATTTTTGTATCCAATTATTATATTACATTTAGTAAGTAATACCTACAAATTGCAGACTTTTAAAATAATTTTCTTTTTACTAAACTACCTACTTTTGGTACTTGTATAGTATGCTATCTATTGTTAATATTTTATCTACCATAATTTCATGTTGGTTTTATTGTTGTTACATCCACAAACAAAAATTATCTTACTTTTATATTGTAACATTTCTACTTTGTTAATTTTTTCATTTATAATGTGTAAATTATTTAATTATGCATTTATAATTCTTACATTTATTTGATAGACCAACTACAAGGCAAGTTTTACAGTATATTTAATAAGTTTAAATCACTATTGCACTTAACATTTGTATAATATATCCTTAAAAATGAAATATGTTTACTTTTGTGTGTATCGTATCTAGTAAAATATTTGGCACTTTTTTATTACATTGCAAATATATTCTTTTTTTTTAAACTATTTACATCTTCCTTTTTACTATTTTTAAGAATTTTTTTTTTTACATTTTAGTACATGATTGTTTTTTTTAGTAATAAATCACATGATTTTAAAAAATATCCACATATCTCTTCATTTTGAATGATATGTTGATAAAAATAGCTTATAGTTAAAACATTTTTATTAATAATTAAGACATTTTTATACAAATAACCTCAGTTAAATAACATTTAATCTACAAAACCTACAAACATAGACTAACAGACTAATTTTATTTTATTTTTTTGTAATTAACCTAATTCTAGTCACAAAATTATAAAGTATATTAAATATTTTATTATGAAATTTGTTTTGATTAGCAGATTTTGATTGATTACTATATTTTTTCAGGTAGTACTAAAGCCATACTATATTACCAAACGAGCAGTAAATAGCATATTGTACGTGCTTCCTATTTTGTTACTCCGATATATTATTGTAAGTTGTTAAATATCTACCTTTTTACATTTAAAATGTATTTATGTTTACACTTGTCTACTTTTTCAGTATAAAACTGTACTATTTACTTTTCCATTTACCATCATACTCCTATTTGTAAATCATAGAATTATGTTATCCTAATTGCAACCAATATTCAATATTTTATTATAATTTATAACTCATGTATCTATATAAATTAAATTAAAGTTCAAAAATAAATATTTATTTAATTTATGTTATTTTTATTTCAGAGATTTGGTGTATTGAATTGTAAATATGGACATTGATCAGTTGGGTAATGATGCTAAGTTGGCAGCAACAAAATACTTTACAAATATGCTAAAAAAACCAGGACAATTGGAAAAAGTTGAACAACTAAAGAACCGAATATCACGTAAAAAAACTTCTACCGAAGCAATGTTAAAAACAGCCATGCAAAGTCAATTAGATGGGGTTACAATTGGGATGGAACAACTGAAAGATGCTCTGGATGACATAAGCAAAGTAAAGATATATCTCAGTCAAACAAAACGTTCATTTATAAATTTACCATCTCTTGGATACAAGTTGCAAGATGTACGCACCAAGCAAATGCAACATTCTCAGTACTTGACAGCTAATGAAAATATGAAGCACCTATTCACTGTACCCGAGAGCATTGAAAAAACTAAACAGTGGATCAATGATGGAAAGTTTTTACACGCTCATCAATGTTTAATAGACCTTGAAAACTCTAGAGATGATCTTTTATTTGAAGTGCATAAACTGCCTAATCAAGCACCAAGTGATAAAATACTACTTAAAGCATATTTTGAAGATGTTGAAGTTATGTCCGATATGTTAAAAAAACAAATAAAATTAGTATTGAGCAGAACACTAAATACTGTTAGGAAAGAACCTATGGTAATTGTTACTGTTCTGAGAATTATAGAACGAGAAGAGCGTGCTGATATATTTGCATTACAGCGTCATAAACAATCTGGATTTATGCCTCCTAGTCGTCCAAAAAAATGGAAAGAAATGGCGTTTGATGTGCTTCAAAAGTCAGTTGATCAACGAATAGAAGGTACTCAAGTGAATGAACGATCTGATAATAAAATGTGGCTTGTAACATATTTAGAACTTTGTCGGCAATTAATTCTTGAGGATTTACGAGTGGTTAAAACTCTCTGTGTGCCATGTTTTCCACCACAATATGATATTTTTGATAAATTTGTTTTTATGTATCATTCTAGTCTCTCAGCTAATTTAAATGATATAATATCAGATGGATTAGAAGGCAATGAATATGTTACAATTATTTCATGGGTAACTAACACTTATCCTGGTAAAGAGTTAATGTTACATCCTGAATTGAATATAGACATTGGTAAAGTTGGTCCGTTACTAAAATCATCAATTATTTTTGATTTACAATCAAAATATTTAGAATACATTAAAGCTAATTATAAAGAATGGATGTTAAAAACATTGGATACTGAAAAAAATGATTGGTATGCAGGTGCTTCACCTGAGGTTGGCCCAGATGGATGTTTTCATACAGCTGCTCCAGTTATTATATTTCAGATGATCGATCAAAATTTGCAAGTCACAAAAACTATAAGCCAGCATTTAACACACAAAGCTTTATTATTGAGTGTAGATAGTGTCAGTCTATATGGTTTATCTTATAAAGAGGCTGTTATAGAGTTCAAGAAAAAGCACTTTGAGGATAGAAGCAAAGTACCATTTTTTACACACTGCATAATTACTGTGCTCAATAATTGCTTACAGTTTATTGAATTAGCATTAGAAATGAAGCAGCACTATTGGAGTAGTGATTTTAAAGATCAGTCAAGTAGTGCCTATGAAAAATTAATTAAGACCTTCCAAAACCTCAGGGATGAGGCAGCGCAATTTCTTTTAGAAGAAGCCTTCCTTGATCTTGACTCCCATTTTCAAGACTTGATAACTACTAAATGGCTTACCAGCTTTATATCTATTGAAACAATTTGTGTGACATTAGAAGATTATTTTCAAGATTATACTCATCTAAAACCCAAAAATTTAGAGTATATAATATTAGAAGCTGAAGATATAATAGTGCGACGATACATAATGGCTATTCTGCAAAAAAAATTAAATTTCAAAACATACGAAGAGCGTAGATCAGCAGCAGATAAAATGACAAATGAAGTAGATCAATTGAAATCGTTTTTTATGCGTGTGGCACCTTTAGTGACACGTGATAAAGATTCTCCTTTTGATGCTGTTGTAAAATTATCTGAAGTATTAAAGAGCGAAGATTCTGAAATATTATCATTGGACTTGCACACACTTGTAAAGATGTATCCAGATATTACCGAAGACCAAATGACAAGATTATTAGGTTTAAGAGGTGATTTAAGTAGATCAGAAATACGTGAAAAAGTGCAGTATGCAATCCAAGGCAATAAGGAGCTTGCAGGCACCACATTAACCAAAAGTATATTCCAGCAAATCCATTTATAGTGTAAAAATAATCATCAAATTTTTACAGTTTAAGTAATTATAGTTCAAGAATTATATAAATAATACTATTTAAATAGATTATGTATATGTATATCATTTGCAATCAATATACCGTTCCTAATGTGGTGAGCAATACAATAATACTACCTTAAAATATTTAAAATAATATTTATTCATATATTTTTATATTTTAAGTTTACTTTATCAATAAAAAAATATTTTAGAATTTGTTTATTATTTCTTAAATATAGGTTATTTATTTTATAAAGTTTTAAGTCCATTTTCAACCAGTGGATTTTTTGAGTTTCAAAATTAAGTAAATTTGTACATGTATTGATTAATAATAATAATAATAATAATAATAATTTATTTTAATATTGAAGTTTTTATAGTATTGTTATAATTACTTTTATTGAATTATTATCATGTTAAACTTTTATATGTATCTTAATTATTATTGTTTTGTGCTAATTTGCTGTAAAGGGCTCGCCCGTTAATAAATATAAATAAATAATATAAATATGTTTCATTAGTAGTACAAAGTAAAGACAATAATAATAATAGTTATTATTACATTACTACATGAATTAAAAGTCTGTTTAGTCTGTTTGTAAACGCATAGTAAAAAAATTAGGTAATATTTATAAAACATAAGTCACAACTAAGTGGGTTGCGATATTAAAAAGTTTGAAGACCCTTGTATTAGATGATAATATTAAGTTGTCTGAATTTTATTGTACCTATGTTACTATAAAATTTTATATATACATTGTTTTTTCAATAAAGTTAATAATAATATTTAATTCTTATTATACAAGTGTGTAATCATTTTGTACCTATGGTTTTAGTTAAATTTTTCATTTTAAGTATAATAATATCCAAATACTTTCAAGTTACTATTGACTTAATATATTGTTATGTGTACTATAATTTATTACTACAGGTATTATAATATCATTGAACAAATTGTCAATTTTCATTTTTATAATTTTACTTTTTTTTTTTTTTAATAATATATATATTATAAATAATTATTTAAAACTATAAACAATACATTTACATCAACTGATTATATTTTTTTCAAAATTTTTTTTTGGTAGGCAATTATCATATATTTTATTTAATGAATTATTTACCTTGTTAACAAATTTATGGGAATCCGCCATAAATAACAACAAAATTATTAGTGATGACTAATGACAGTGATAATACATTTTATTGAAATAGAGAGTATAGTTAAAATATTGTAGGTATTTATGGAAAAAAAAAAAGGAACAGTCTAATTTTATTTACAGTATATAGCGGAGAAATGGTTTATTTTTCTCAGAATTAGTAGGTAGTAGTAGGTACTAAACTACTAAATGTTAGGATACAGTATGAAAATATAATATTTTTAAGTGGTTGAATAAGAAGAAAATATTTAAAAATAGTAATTTTTGATAAATAAACGACATAAAATCAACTATAACTTGTAAACTATAGTTTTTCTATTACTTATTATAATTGTTATCAGCCGATTTTTCAGTAAATTAAAAAAAATTAAATTTATATTTTATAGATAATCATAATAGAAAATTCTATTTATTTATTAATTCAACTTTACATTTGTATACTTATCAGCAATGCCTGATTATTTTTGTTCTCTAAATAAAACTATTTTGTAACTTAAAGTTTTAAAGTAACAATTAAAAGATAATCATATCATATATTAATAGCCATAATTTTTTTTTACTTTTTGGGTATTTTGTATAAGTTTAAAATTAATATATATTTGTTTCTAATTAGGTAGTATTTTAATGATTGATTCTAATTTTCAAAGCAGATGTTTCAAAAGTTGAATTACTTATTTTTATTACATTTTCAATTTATTTGATAACTTATAATCTTGAGACGAGACTACAGGAGCGCAGATTTTTATAAAATCATTTTTTTTCCTTTTCACTTTTTTGGATTTTTGTTAGTTATCTTTACGAATTATAATAATTTGAATTTATGGGGAAAATTTTTTTTTCATATTTCTGCATATTATTTTGCATATTTTTGGAGAATTTGAAATGTATTGAATATTAAAGCGACAATTTCTCATTAAGTAATTAATTATAAGTTTTTAGCTTGTGAATTTTAAAACAATATAAAAAATCGTACTTTAATTTTGACATATGATCAATATGAATATAGCTAATATAGGTTTTAACTAGTGGACGGTTATGTACATAAATACAGCCATGGATAAAATTACCAAGAACCTATGTAGTAATATTTAAATAAATAATTAGACAGATATTAGACACTCCATAAATACATCAACGTTTGCTTCCAATTTATTCAAATTGTATATAATGTATTATACTTGAAAAGTTTATAATATAACTAATAAATATTTATTATATATTTATTTTTTTCATAAATATTTTTATATCGGTTCCATTAAATTTATATATAATATGATATTATAATAATATGCATATATGTGTATTTTATATAATATGTGTATAGTGTATTTATTAATAAATACTTTATCACTCACATTTGATATCCTTTGAGAATTGAAAATAAGATGTGTACATGGCTACTTAAAGACTACATTATCGTTAACATATTACCTATATAAATATAAATGTGTAGGTGTACTCACTGTTCTTGGGTACACGATTCAAATGTTAATTATTAAACCCTCGAGGGATACCTATCTAAAGTGTATGAATTAAAAAGTGTGTAATACTTAAATCTTCGACTTCAAGCATGTCTTTAAACATAAGAGTATACCTACTTACAATTTTAAATTCATATTATAACTTGAGTTTTAGTCGATTTTGATTGTTTTACTCTCTAAATGAATCTAAATCATCAGTTAAATTATCAAATAAATGAATTTCCTAAAAAAAATGTATAAATATTGAGTGTGTAAAATCTATTCTATGTATCAACCGTTCAAATACTAGTAGGTTTAAAAATATCATATATGTTTGGTATAATTTAATGCGTCTATTGTTTTTAAATTTAAAGCCATTTACTCAGCAAAATATTTTTAAAAATTAACTTCTAACTAATATTTATTTTTATACATTTGTAGTACCATATTATTTTGTGATAAATACAGTTAAAGTTTGACAACATATTTATATTTACGTAGTTATATAAATTATAAATATTATACTACTAGCTATAATGATTAATGAGTAGAATGGGTATTATATTATTTTTTATAATCATAATGGAGAGAAACTTCTAAAGGTTTTTTGTCATATTAAATTCTTGAAATAAAATTAAGATTAGTGCCTCTACAGAAAATTAAATTAAATTTTATGTAATAGGTAGGTATTATGTTATTATTAAATTGTGTAAGCTAATCTTACATCTCTATAATACTATAAATATAATATTCTATGAACTACCCTAGATGTTAAATTATTTATGACAATTTATTTTAAATGTTTGATATTTTAATAATTTTGTTTATGAATTATTTACCTTTAAACATTAAATCCTACGTCTTTATCCATTTTAAGTTTATGCTAAGGTATAAACAAAAACCGGACTATTGCATGTGTAAACTCTTAACTCAAGAATTACGAAAAGATCAAACACTAAGTACAAAATAAATAATTAAGTAGATATTTCAAAAGGATGTAATGATAATACTCTGAATATATTTTCTTTTGTCTTGTAAATTTGATGTATAATTTGATGTCAGCGAAATGTCAAAGACCAGACTCAAAGGATAAAACATAAAGGTAAGTTCTTAATTTTATTTTTGTGATGACGGGTTAAATAATATATTACTTCTATAATTGGAAATATCAGATACTAAATCCAGAAAACTTGATGCTGGTCGGGTTATGTCAATTTTACTAGCTATTCTATAGAAATAATTGAATACAATTTTTGAAGACATATTTGGATTTGTCAAGTATTTTTCTATAACACTACGTACTTGTCGTACTTGTTTACTATTTTGAAATTAAACTTTAAAATCTTCAAAAATTTTATTTTTAAATTTTGAAAATTAATTATATTTATAAAAAAAAAAAAAAGAATTTAAAAGATGTAAGAAAGTTGTTTTTGAGTAACATTTATGATAAATTCAATTATTATAATTTTAGAAATAATATTTGATAAATAGGTTAATGCAATTGGCAAAAATATGACAGATTTGGAAAAAAAGATTATGTACCTATTTATAATTAAATGTTAATGTAATTATTAATAATATATTTTTATCAAAAATTTGTTGTAATTTATTTTTTATATTGTAATAAATATTTAATGCTATGTATGCTAATAGTACCTAAGTGAAATCAAAAACTTCATCGTGAAGTTTACTTGAGATCGATCACTTTTTCACATTCAATTCTTATCTTCTCTTTAAATTTGATTTTAAAATTTAAAAATCAAAGAACTTTTAACAGTTATTATACTTTATCTAAATATTGAACCTCTTAAAAAGAGTTCTTAGCTTAAATTTGTTTACACTTGCATGACTTGGTGACGATGGAAAATACTGTCTTATGCTCTTATCTATACTAAAATTTATGTTATTTTGTATCGAAAAAATTGGTGATTACAATCATTGAAACGTTTTTTCTCTGTATAGCAACACCAGTTTAATTTACACAAAATATTATAAAATAATAATTACGAACAAAGGGGATTCTGTATAGAGATATTTTATTAAGGAGAAAGCAATAAGATGATATAACCAGAAAACCATCACAGAGATGCTACGGATTAAACGGATTATATGGATTTTATGGATTATTTGAGCACACTTGTCACACTACACATCTATAAGTTATAGTGAAATTATCTATTAAAATCCCTTAAATTAAATTATATGTACTTTAAAAGCTTTTGCTATTATTAGTAGTGCAATTAAAAAAATGATTTATTATAAATGTTTAAAACCGATTATAAAATTTAACATTATCTGTGTTATATATTTTTCACATTTTTGAAAATGAAATTTTACTTCACAATTTGTATTTTTACTATTCTATAAAGTAGTTTATAAAATACTCGTATAAAACAAAATTGAAAACAAGATGCTATAATGTACAAAGAAGACTTAAGTAAGAATTCAAATCTGTTTTCATATTTATTTTCGTTTCACGCAATCGCACACACATCGATGAAACTTATTAT